TCGTTTTATTAAAAAGTTGTTTTCGCGTACATATTCTATATCAACAATTATTCTGTCGGTACTCTAGTCGTCTAACATTGTAATTACGGTATAAATACGACATTGTGGGTGTACTGTAAATGCATTCGAGTCTTTAATAACTAATCAATGTACGACCAGCTAACATGGAATCCCTTGCACATATGCAAATTACGGGACACTTGGTGCATGTTCGCTTAATACGTATTTCTCGCGTGCCAATGTGGTGAGAACTCGGGAATATGGTACGTACCTTTGCATTCCCTATCCTATGATCTCAATGAAAACTATGCAAATGCGACGTAACAGTGGTTGATATAGATTCACGGAGAATTAGCAGGATTTGAAGACGAAGTGCATAATATTGTACTTCACGTTTTCACATTACCCGCATTTTCGTCAAGTCCCTTCGTATCATATTTTTATTTGCAAAATTGAACTACTATTGTTGTTTTAAAATGGTAATTCACTTGTGTTTATCTCAAAGAAAATTGATTTTATTAATATCGTCTACGAAAATTGTTTCTTGTTGATTAATATCTGCGTATCCAAATTTTAATATTGAAAGTTTTTGATTGATTATATCAAGGTTTCCAATTTTTCAACATATTGATTTTTGTTTCTGAAGGGTAATAATTTAAATGGAAAATAGATAGTTTAGATCACATGTCTGTATTTCACTATTTTGTATTACTTCCCCAAGTCTTTCAATGTTCATATTAACACTAAACCGGCGCGATCAAATTGTCCGCTCTCGCGACTTCTACACAAATTTAACCATATTTAAACTTTATGATATCGCTTCATAATTTCCGACTTTTCCTAAAACATGCATACAGTATATTTTTCGGTAATTAATTTTAGTTTGCTCTCTTATTTTCTGAGAAAAATTTGTATTCTGTCTTGCATACCGTGAGCAGTCATTTTGACCGCCCGACAAAGTATGTTATTCTTGAAATAAATGCAATCAGTACAAAGAAAAGGCTATTTCAAGGTCAGATGACAAACAAAATCAGTAATAACAAATAATAACAGCTGTTACACCCGTTGATAGCCACCAGCAGTCAAGACATATCAACTCAGGTCCATAATAATCCTAAGGAACCGCCACAAAATTTAGTATTTTTTACAGTTTATTGTTACAAACATTTTAAAAGTCGAGAAATTTCTTAGGGTTATTGCTCATTGCTATAAAACACGGGAGAAGCTTTCCCAACTCCACCCTTGAGTAACCGTTGGTGGAGAACGGTCAATACTCATCAATATTTTCGTATAAATATGGCCATCACAGATCATATTTTTACTTGCTATTGTCTTTTCGATTAGAATACATCTCGGTTTCTAAGTCGATTAGTCGATTTTGTTAGTAAGTCGATTGATCGAATTTGTTATCTCTTAAACGCAGGCAGAAAGCATTTCAGAGTGTTTTGTGTAAAGTTGTTATAAAAGGAAAAATAAAGCATATCAAATTTGACAATAACTTTTGTATTCCGTGCATGGTATTATTCTGTGATAAATATTTACCCTAGAAATGTCATGATTTCTCAAAAAAAAAATTATAAAAAAAAGAATGACAGACATAGAAGAAAACCGTTCAGTGTTATCCGCAGAAAGTGAAACTGGGACCGATGGAACAGTTTAGAAAGAAATAGATGCAAGTCCCAAATCTGGCAGGACATCAGTTCATAATATTTTTAGGGATATGCTAAACGGCATATAATGAAAGGACAAGTAAAGACAGCAGTTTATCTTATCATTGATCACCGTATAAGGGATTATATAATAAAATATACGGAGGAAGAAATATTTAGGGTATTGGAGGCTAAGAAGGAGCTAGATGCAACAAAATTAGATGCATTTATTGCTTTGCTATATGCCCGCGGTGTATATCAGGCAAAAAATTTAGATGTTTCATATTTGTGGAATAAAATTTTGAGACCTGCATTTTTTTCACAAATAATGGGCAGGAATGACTTTGCTAAAATTATGAGGTTTATACGATTTGATAAGAAGAGTGAAAGAAGCCACCGTTTACGAACCAATAAATTTGCAATGGTATCTACAGTATGGGGCCAATTTACAGAGAATTCACAAAATTGTTATAAACCTACTGCATACATTACTTTTACATAAAGAATCGCGGGGAAAAAGCCATGCAATAAAACTATCAACAAGTTCAGATTTATTACTACAAAAAACTTGTCAAGTAAAAAATTGTAAAAGTTACAAAATTACGAAAATTTATTTAAGATGCGGGAAATATTTATGTGACAAATGTATATTTGATAATAAGATAATTTGTAAAAAATGCAACAAAGTTGAATAAGATATCTCTATATATATAAAAGTGTAATTCTATTTAAGTCTATAATTGAAATTAAATAAAAGTAAATTTGGACGAAATTTTATGAAGGTTCATCATTTTATATACATTTAGTTATAAATTAACCATTATCTAAGTTAAATCATAAAAACTATTACTTCTTTAATCACCGGTTATTTTGACCGCACACGATAGGAATAGGTATACACGGTAGCTTTAGTATTAAGGAAGGTATATATTAAAGGTATGTATTAAGGCAGGTACTCTACTATTTTCACATAATTGCATAAATCAGAAGTTATATACTGACAGAAGAGCATTTGGATTCGATCGTCCTATTCTTCTTTGCTGAAATACAAATATATTTGATAGAAATGCTATCAGGAAATATGTAGGACGTGGTTTCGATATGTGAAAACGTCAAACATATCTTGAATATCTCGAAGTCTTATCTCGGAGTTGTTGAATATCTCAGTGACTTACATTCAAAAAGATATCAGGCGCTGCAAGTCAAGTGCAGCTGTGCATTAGGTTCTCTCTTATACTACGTGCACTTGACATCCAAAGGTAGACGAAAAAGATTAAAAAGCGACGAACAAATACTTTTCACTTGTTTATGTACGATTGCGTTTCTTTTAGTAAAAAGAGTACGCGCAATACGCGGATTGAAAGTGGAAATTGCTCTTAAAAAGGAAAGAAATAATCTAGGTCGTTTAACTTTGTGTGGAATTAATTTCCACAAAAGTCAGAACTTGTATGTTACGTTAATCTACTTGCATGTAATCATTTACATTCTGTTTTAAAATTAATGGTATATTATTTAATATACTTAATGAATGATTACAACGTTTCATGTGTTAGATATAGGGATTATTATTCCAGCGAAATAGAATCTTACATCAAGACAGTTTCTGTTTCCAATCGTCACAATATGGTCCTATTTTTTATTGCTATTATTGAGTTACAATTAAATTGCGATATGAATATGCATAAGAATTCTACTGTTCCATAAACGCAGAAGTCTCCAAAATTAAGTCTACGCGTGTCCTGGATTTATAATCATCTATTCAGTTTCAATCCATCTATCGAAAACAGCTCACGTCCGATGATGTCAAAATCATCGTTCTATTTGTAATCGTTCGTTCAATTTATCAACGTCCCAGATCATCTTAAATATTAATCTCTGAATCGTCGGACGACAATCAGCGGCAGGGGATTTGAGGATAGAACGGTGCTTCTGTCCCGTTTTAATTGTTAACATAGGTCGCGGGAATGGCCGGTCGATTTGTCAATCGGGCAAAACATCATCGTCGAATCGTTAACTGTGAATTTGGGTCATCGTAAAGTCGTTCATGGCGCAGCTTGATAGAGGTGGATGAGGGCGAGGATTGACGAGGCATAAGCCGTTGGAAATGAGCAACGACAAGCGTTTTAAAGTGCGGTTCGAAACCTCCTGAAAGGAAATATTACGGCAGTCTACCCTAATAAGGGTGCGCCACTTCAGCCACCTTAGTGAGAGTACCTGTTGCCCGTGACTCTATTAATATTGTAGTTCCAGTTGATAAGAATCTATTAGGATCACGATTCGAACTTCGAAATAATGTCACGTGATATTTCCTTTATCAAATTGTAGGATATTCCCATGGAATTAACTCATTGGTTCTAACACTGTCGCTTTACTATACCGCTAGGAATTCATGCATTTTATTATAATCAAAGATGGCGATCGACTTTTGTAATTCATTATGATCAAGCATTCAAACTTTAAAACAATATCACGAATTATTTTACCAAGTTCTAGATGTCGAAGATATTCACGTGGAATTAACACCGTTGGAAACTTTATTGAGTGGTTTGGAATTTGTGTAATACATATATACGGTAGTCAAGGACCGTAATTAATTCGGCCAGGGATTTCTTGCACAATAATTTATTGATTAATAGTAGTAGTTTATTCATTTTAACTCATTAGCTGAGAAATTAGGCTTGGTTACATAAATTGCAATATAGGCGTTATCTTCATCCCATATTATGCCGCTTTATATAATTATTCCTTTGATTATTTTTTGATTAATAGTATTAATTCAAATGTGCAGCAAGGTCCAGGTTTTATGATAATCTATGAGAATTGATTTATTAATTTTTAATAAATCTGTTTTGGTCTAAAGGTCACATGTTTGCCTATTTGGAGAATTGATCGAAATATTCGGCATTTCGTGTAAGTCACATGTTAAATACGAATCTTATGACTTGTATACGCAATATTAAATTAATGGTCTCTTCAAATTGTTATGTCATTGATCAGGCTAAATTGTTTCGCGTACTCTTTAATATATTTTCCTTGTAACGTGATATCTTCCTTGTAATGAATTTGACTTCATTCCCGTTTGTTGAGTAACAGAAAGTTCTATTATTAGGAGATCACAGGACTATCCAATTATTTCAATCTTATGAGTGGGTTTTTTCCTGGATTTGCTTTATTTTCCAATTATGCATCCACAAACGTGAGAGAAATTGTTAAAAATTATTTCTCTATTTTCGTCGTAATTATCGTGTGAAATTAGCCCGTCAAATTTCTAATTAGATAGAACCTTTTGATATGTATGTATATTGATAAATATCCATATGTATTGGTAATATGGTAAAAAAAAGGGCTTACCAATTTCAACCAGAGGTTTGTGATGAGCAATTGGTTCTTCTCGTCCTGAAACATAAAAAATATCAATTATACGTCATTGTTATTCTAGCATGGATAAATCAAAGCAAAACATCGAATATTTCAAACTAAAGCATTATTAACCATTTCAATTAACCATTTCATATACAAAATTGTTTTAATTAACACTAAAATAAAATGCTTTCAAATACGTTTTGAGAGGTTTAAGAATCACTCTAAAATACAAATGAAGTGTTTTTAGGGGTAGAAGGGACACAAAAATTAGAAAAGCAAATTTTGTAACAAAACCTTGAAACAACAAAACTAAAGGGAATTGTTTTAAATAACTGTTTTTGAAACTTGATCCTATTTTTTTCATTTAAGAGAAACAAGAGAAATCTATTTTGTACCGTTGCTTCTCTATTCGTTGTAACAAACACAATCTGCTCAGAATTTCCTTAACGAACACGTTTTTCTTCTTGCCTTTGACGTCGATTTTAAAAGCAGTTAAAGTATTTGTGAGACAAGAAATAAAACTAATTATTTTGTGACGTAGAAGCTCTCTACTTTTTGGATACGAAACGTCTTCGTTATTCGTTAGCTTATTTATCGAGCTCGGTCGGGATTACTAACTAGGTCGAGGCAATTAATAAAACGCAATAAGTTGGCTAACTCTGTCTTTATTCTTGACCAGTGATGAGAAGGAAAGAAAATCTCGGCTGGTCATTAATAATGGCGAAAAATAGCTTCGCTCGTAGCTGCAGGCTTTGGCAATTATCTTGTAATCATTTATCGAGTTTCGTACCTATTTATGATTTGGATCTTGTTGGATTTGTGAACGCCGCGCCAATCAAAAGAAACAATTAAACGGTATGGTAGACGCCGCAATATAGTGTGTTCATAAAATCGATTAGTTCGTTAAAGCTTAGATACATGTTGGAGATATCTGGACGACTGAATTAACAGTAATTTGAGAAAACAACGATCTGAAATTTCCAGAGTTACTGGTGAAATCCTTTTCTTAGTAATCTACGTTATTTTTCTACTTGCTTTGTGTTCTATTTTTCAAATTTTTCATTCCCTGAAACATTTTCTCATTGTTATAATTTTTCCTACAATCTAGAAGCAATTCCCTGTGGTAAAATTATTTTTACAGAAGTTTTTCTAAGTCCCAATTTCATCACAGTGGATTTCACGTTAGTATAATATTACCGAAAGGAAGTCCGTGGGGGTATAGATTATTTTCTACCACTGCTCCAGGCTAAACTCTAAAAAGTCACAAAAATAAGTAGTTGGAACCGGAAAGGAAATATTCACAGTAGTCGCACAGTTCGAAAAGGGCATCATACGAATGATTGGATCGGAACAAACAGTGTCTATTAGGTTGGATTATGGAATGGTCGAACAAAACTTAAGCTCGATTTAGCGTTTGGTTTACCGCCAGATCGGTATTTGTGATAATGTTAGGCCAGACTTAAATTGACCTTAAGCTCTTTCGTGTGTAGTAACGTTAGAGAAAATTACGGACGACAAGGCTTGCCATGTAATAAATGTTTCTTTTAATCCGAAGATAATTGGTTTAAGTGGAAGCATTGGTACGTGGGGGCAAATGGAAAAGAATTTTCATCGATGATGAGAATCTTGCAGCGGTTTCAAACTTTTGCTAACATAAACTACTCTATAACTTTCGATAACACTAAGTGCTTAAACAGGAACGTAGCTTAACGTAGCTTGACGTAGCTTGACGTAGCTTAAGAGCTATGTGCTATAACTGAGGTAGATTAGTATAGTAAGTCTTGATATTTAATAAATTAGACAAACTTTGTTCATCTTGTTAGTCGATCTTAACCGAATGCTTTGGTATCATTATTAATTCGATCAATACCTCTTTATAATTACCTCACGAACTCAGTATGCTTTACCCTATTTATTTTCGTTAGTCGATTAATGATCAGTCGAGAATGATAAAATATGCTTATACTTCAAATCATACACGAATTATTTGTGTTTTTCTATTTCTGACTTTTTCTAATATCTAATTTAAAGCGATTTTCCAGCGTGTCTTTGCATCATATATCACAAAGGTAACAATCGGTGCTTCATCTTGCTTCTCAACGTCGCACACGGTGACAACCGGACGTTTCTCCAGTCTACTTCCATTTTCAAGAAAAGTACTGGAAGGTTAGTTTCGGGCTTATCCTTTTGCTCGGCCGTGTGATAAACTGTTTTTCGATAATTGGATCTTATCGTCTGCTCTCACCTCTTTCAAACAGCTCGTGGAAATCATTCGAAAAGTCCTCTAAATCCTTGCGGTTGTGCATTGCGCTTCTTGTATATTTACAGTCTATTTAGAACTTTTCATTGACGCTGTAACGTTTTTATCGATTTCGAATTTTCCGAGTTACGGAGGGAACTGTATTAAGCTTAAAATGTAATTTTCCATGGACTCACAGGCTCGTAATATCTTACTTTTTATCGAATCATACAGTAAATTATTTTTTAATCCGCGAGGGCACGTTACGCCCCATATCACGATTTTGATGTCAAATCAATATGTATTTGATGTAAGTCGACGGAATAGGAAGGATAAATGAAATTTCTATCGCTTTACTAAAAATTCTTTGATGTTTTCTTTATGACCTCGTTCCTCCCCCTCGTTCTCATTTTCTCGTACTTGCAATCTGGCAAAGGGTCTTGGCCTTTTTTCTTTTTCTCCGTTGTTTTTCGAAATTTTCATGCTTTCCAAGGCAAAGTCTTGAAAGTTTAAGAAGATTATAGCTTCAACGTCACAGGACGTTTATCTTCGGATGGGGAGAGAGAGAGAGAGAAAAGAAAGAACTTTGACCACGACATAACAACACGAATAGGTCAGAATTGTCTTAGTTGGTAAGATCTTTGACTGACGAAAAACTCGTTTGTCTTTTGCTACGTTTCCTGTGCTTTTCCTGATTTCTTGGCTGCGTTGGAGAAGGAAACCGCACGACGCTATTTCTGGCTGCGGATGTAAATGAATAAGGTTCTTCCGTTCGCGAAGAAGCGAGAAACAAACGTTATTTATACCGAAGTAATACCTTGAAATTTATTCGCGACCGCTCACGGAAAATTTCAGATCCTTTAACCTGCTTAATTTATCATGGGAAGAGGTGTACGATGGAGAGACAAATAAATTCTAAAAAGATTAAAACTTCTTACAATCATCCATGCAGGAAAAGAAAGTAAAATTTTCGCTCGTTATAGTGCAGCAATCGTGTACGGTTGTATCTGGAATAACATAGGAAATTTATTCGTGAAGGGAAGTTCTCTGTTGTACGATTTTGTTATCGGTTATTTGATTTGATTCTGCAAAGATATATTCAGGGGGCTACTAGAAAGTTTGATTTATGTCCGTCTTCTAGAGTACAACTTATTCAGATTATTCCGATTTTATGGAACAGAACGGAGAGAACGATCAGAATCTGTTCTAGCGAACTGAACATTGCCGCAGAGCATTGCGGTCATTTCAATCACCGCCCACAAGCTCTGTAACATGTACAAGAGAATCTTGATATCGCTACTTGACACGTATACTCCTTCCTAGATTTGCCGTGACCCAAATTATTATCCTTCCGGTTTAGAGGAATTTATATTTTATCGATACGCATTGCGTATCGATCTCGAGGATGTTCCTATTATTGAAGCACATACAGATATCCACGCGCGCACAATACAGCATATTTTGATGAACTTGGCACTTCTGAGAATCAAGGAATTATTCAATGAACTTGGAGTTACAAATGTTCAGAATATAAGTATAGTAATCTCTTATCTTATTAACACATTGTTGACCGGTCACGAGTTAACTCGTGTCTTCATGCCCAAACGTTGCCGACCGGCTACGAGTAAACTCGTGATGCGCTTTTTTCGCATCAGCGTCGTTTTCTCAGTGCGCTGTTAGAGATTATACAGCGCAATTGTTGGTCGGCATGCCTCAAGCTGTGTCTCTCGCTTTCAAGACCCGTCAAGTTGCGTGGATCAAGTGGAAATCGAAAAAAATTATTGCATATTACATATTACAATATATGTGCATATTACAATAGAATAAGCACATGAAAGGAGTAGATCGTGCGGATCAATATTTGGCGAACAGCAGTATTTTACGAAAAACTTTAGTGGTCCAAAAAAATTTGCATTTTTTCTGATAAATTGTACCTTGTTTAATGCATATAAAATATACTGTACTCATTTGCCAGAAAATAAAACAAGATAAAAAGAATTTCTACTGGAAGTAGTTAGAGAATGGATAACTGGATTCCAAGGAATGCAGCATTGCACCTGACGCTTCTCGAATTTCTAAAACAGCTGCTTATAATGATACACCCTTCAAGCTTTCCGGACAATTATGAGACCACATCTTAGAAAAAATATTCACTGGTAGAAGTATTCAAATCTGACTAGAGCTTTTCAAAAGGAAAACGCAGCGAAACTAGGTATATTTGCAAAAACTGTTGTTTACCATTACACGTAGCTGATTGTTACACTGTTTATCATACAAAAAAGAAATATTAAAAGTTGAATAATACATAAAATTCCACATCCAATTACAAAATAATAGTCGGTGACATGAGATAAATTCTCAGTAAAATTATCGGTCAACAATGTGTTAAAAGTGGGAATTTGTAACAAATCTAACGAGGTTTCGTACAATTAGCACGGTCCCTGACAATTTTAAAATATAGAAACGAAATCAGAGTGATATGTAATTTCCAAATCAATGGACATCGCTTGACAAAGCTACCAAGGCGACTTTGCAAGGAATTTGCGACTCGAATCCTCAGAAACTCCTGTGGGAACATGAATCGCAAATTCGTCTTTACTGTGCCGCGTCTCTAAGTTATACTACACCTGAATATATATACTGTAACGAAATCGTCTCTGAGGATATCTTTTTACTGCGTGCGCCGTAGTCCCACTATACCTCTCTTGGAACTGAAAATTCTTCGAAAATGCGTCTTAAAAATTTCAAAGGTTCGGAAGGCTCTTCGAGAATTATATGCGATACATGTGGGACA